TGGATTTAAGATATAACTATTTTCAATTTTATTGCCAAAATTTCAATTTTTACTGCTTATCTTTCAGTCATCTAGCAGAAGTTTGCTTGTTAATTTTATGCAAACAATTTTCTTTTCTTGTTTTCAATTTCAATGAGAAGCCATAAATAGTGCAAAAAGTTAGCCAAAACATAAATCATTATAAAACTGTCGTCATTAGTATTATATCATTCATATGAAAATTTTCTTGTATAAATAAGCGATTTTATTTTTGATTTCTTGGCTCGATTTCTTTTCAATCTGATCTTATCATATTTTGAATTTTTATTAGTGAAATTCAATCTTATGTTACTGTCTGTTCGTGGGATTAGGATTATGATCAGCTGATTAATAATAAGACTATTAAAGATTTAGATCTAATTTTGAAGAAAAATTATAATATTGAAAAAAGTCTTTCGATTTAAATTTCATCTACTGCAAAATTACGAATTTATAAACATGGCTAATTAGTCTATTGATTTATTTGTACCGTTTTTAGTTTTTGGAGCTTATTCTATGATTTTTGATTCTGATACATTTTTTAGGAAAGATTAATTTCATGGTTTATTTCAGTTTTAACTAATTCTTGGCTAGAATTAATTGCTTTGTCGTTAAGTATACAAATCTTTAAAGTTTACGAAATAAAGTATTTTCATCTCTTACCCTTTTCATTTTCCTATTTGAATCTTTCAAAAGCAATCTATCTTTAAATTTTAGTAAGATTTACATATGAAAGTATAATATGCCGCATTGTTTGTGATATTTATTTGAGAGATTGAAAGTGATTTATGGAAACGAGCCCAATGACCTTGCTGGACTATACACTTATTAGCATAAGTAGTTGATTACCATGGACACTTTGGATAAATTAGCATATATATATACCATGTCCTTAACTCGGCTTATTACGTCTGTTCCACTTTTCGCTTTCAAATTTACCAATAATTTTGAATTAACAATCATAACATTCTATTCAATTTATTAATCCACAAACAATAACTCAATTATTTGTAAAGCCTAAGCAACATTTGGTGTAAAAAAAAAAAAAACAATAATTCATTTTCGAAGCAATTCATTCTTTGGAAGCATTTGAAAAAGAAAGAAAAAATTGAAATAATAGAAATTTAAATATTCTTCATATGGCTTAAAAAGCATTTCGGCTCCTTTTACATTAAATATTCCCATATTGAAAGGGTTAAATTTCATTCAATCCAAGTATTTTAATAGTATTTCATTCCAGACCTTCTCGTCCAGTTGAAGCATTTCTTTTTTTTATGGTTAAAAAAAAGGAATCTTCCATTTGAAAAGTTGAAAAGTTCAAAGTTCATTTTCATTTTTAAATTAGTAAATGGTAAAATCCTCTTCCTTATGGTAATTCACCGCTTCCTTTCTATTTCAATTATTACATTCGACCTTTATTGTTTATTCTCCAAACAGCTTAATCCTTTGTATTTTTCGTTGCATTATCAAACTTTCTCTTAGAATTAATTTTAGAACTTTCTCTTTTATTGCTAATTTTCCTTCTTATTGAAATTTTATGCTTTACAAGTATAATTTGTAATGCTTTGCAAAGAATATATCGAGCAAAATTTGTTTACAATTTCGAAAATTTTGTTTATAACACTTAGAGCCTTGTTTATTACTCTATTTAAAATTAATAAAAACAGCGAAGGATTTCAACTTATAGCAATTAAACTTGATGTTTATTTGTAAGTTGTTAATATTGATGATACGGTGACTGTAATGATAGCAATTATAATCAATTGATGATAACATGATTGCAATCATAGAGATTGTAATCAACCAATGATGATAGTAACGATGCTGACAACGATTATTATAAAGTTTATGTTTAAGCAAAAAAATATTTTTTATAATATGATCAAAATGACATAAGAAGTGACATAAATGACATAACCAAAAAGGATGCAGAGATATCAATGAAATTGTGTTGGAAATGCAAAAGACAAAAAATGAATTATAACATATATACATAAATTTCTAATTGAAAGTTAAATGTTTGATAAATGTATGTAAGGAAATTATGGATATGATGAAATACTTCAAAGATGAAAACATAATTGCTATAGATGACAAAAAACAAAAACGATCAATAATATCATGATATATATGTAGATAATGAGACTACATTTTGGGGACATAAAAAAACAAATGTGTTTCATATTAAATGACTTAATTATAAAAAAGATATTCCTATTCTTAAATTGCGAATAAAATTATTTGCTTCGTTATTGTTTAACGAAAGAAGAAACAAAAATAAAAATTTATAAAATTTTGAATTAAATTTTTTTATTTATTCCATTACTTTCGTAAAATTTTCAAAATTTTAAATTAAGCAAAAAAACAAATGAATAAAATTTTAAGTTTATTCAATTGTATCATATTTAAAAGTATGTAGAAAGTGTTGGTAAATGGGTTAAATGAGGTTATAATAAAAAAAAAAAAGGTCATAATGGATTTTTCAAACATCTTCCGTTACTTAAAAATGAATAATTTGGGTTTGCACTGGCCGAAACATAATTATTCGGATAATGGTTAGGATTTCGGAAATGGAACAAACGTTAGAGCATGCAAAATGACGGGATAAATCAACGAAAAATAACTGAAAAAAATCAGGATTCAATCGTTTGAAGTTTTAATAAAATTTTAAAATGAGAAAGAAATAGGGTAATATTTGTTAAAATTCAAATTTGTATTAAATCTGCACTAATGTTTGTGTCGTATGTCTCGATTAATTAGTTGGCGGTAATATACGCATAATTAAAATCCATCGCCCCACTGTATTTGCAATGACATTATTAGCTCCAATATTTATCGCATCTCTAATGCAACTAAAAGATTGCAAGCTTTTTCACCTTTGCTAGCTAACCGCTCCATTTACCTGTACGTCAATTAATTGCCTCTCCTGTTTCCGTTTGTCCGATTCATCTAATTGTTCCGATTTGCTTATCCAATTTTTTTCAGACTCATTTTTTTGCTTATCTCCATTTTCGCTTCCTGAATGTCAATCAAAATGAATCACCCATCCTAATTTATCATAACTAAATTCGCAGTTCATTTTTGTTGTAAATTTACAATCGTCTTAGGGTCAAACACCTGCCCATTTGCTCCTTTATTCATTCATTAATTATGTCAAATTTAATTAATAATGCTGTGTTTTATCTGTTTATATGGATTATGCATTGCAATATCCACACAATAATAATATCACGGCTTTACACTCTTTTTTTTAGAGCATTTTAAATTTAAATTAATGAATTCGTTAAATAGATGAGTTAAAATAACGTTTTTCTTGGCCTTCTATGTAACCGTGCATATAAATTATAGTATTTTCAATTTAAATTAATAAAATTTTGCTTGTTTTTTTTTTTTGGCTAGCTTAACACATACAAGATGTTATTTATTAGATTAAAATTCGGTAATTATAAATGATTGTCGGAAATGTTTGCTTCGATAAAAAATAGTGTGAGTAAGAGTATTATTGAAATACAAAATCAGAAGATTGTCAAATTATTCCCAATATTAGTTTCGTTTTGATTCATCCCTTTTTCAGTTCATTCCGGAAGAAAATTAAATTAAATGCTACTTCTTCCATGACAATGATTACATTATGTTCATTAATTTGTATCCATTCTGGAATGAATTTTATCGAATAACTTTTTCATAGATAAGAGCGTACAATTAATTATTTGTAGAAGTAGCTGCTGTAAGAAGATGAAGAGGATAGAGGGACATATGAGCTAGAAATATATTTACGTAAGGGAATTTGATTTAAAGTTTGCAACTGACCTTCAATTTGTCACAATAAATACTCCTATCGCTAACCGCCATCTTTCAATTTACAATTATTTTGTCATCTAACTGCAAATTATCACGATTTTAAAAGACATTTTCAGCTTTTACAATATTTAGGTATTATTTGTAAGAAAGGAAAAGACTTACACTTTTAACTTTTACTTAACAAAACTTTTTTATTTAAAAAAAAGTTTTTTTCCAAATATTTGGGTGAATTAATTCAGCTAAAACTTTAATGGATGTCAATCACTTTTGATAAATTTTTCCAAGCAATTGGTCCTCTTTCGGTCTTTCATCTTTAAATTTCATATGCGCATTATTAAGCTAACACAAGCTGAACCAATTCACATTGCTTAAAATTTATTTTGCATACCTTTCGTATGATAATTATAATATTAATTATTTAGTTTTGTAATATTTCACTTCAATTTTAAATTCTTTTTTACAAAATTAATTTTCAAATTTATTTTTTAAATGTCTGTTGAGGTTTAATATTGACTTTTGGCCAATGAAAAGTGAAATATTTCTATTAAACAATGAAGTGATTGAAGATAACTCTTATTATTATACACCATGCTAATTTATCATTCATTCTTCACTGATATTATTCATAGCTTATCACAGAAGTGTTGAAATTACCTGATAATTGCCACTTCATAGGATATTTCATTGATATTTAATTCAATTCGTAGGTTTCACCTTAATTTCGTTAATACTTAATTTTTCAGTGCTATTTTTTTCCTTTTGCACTTATCTTGCGACATATACTATATACTTCCATAGCCACTATCTCTCATTTCGTGATCCTTTCCCGTTATCATTTCATTGTAATTTTAAGTTTGTCACACATGAACGATTAAATTTTAGTTTTATTTCTCAATATTAGTAAACTATTTAATTATTGAATTTTCGTATTCAAATGTATGTGAGAATTTCGTCTTATATAGCTAAAAGTTATTCATTTCTATCGACGAAATTTTTATTTTTCTTTTAAAAATGCCTACTTTGTAATTCAAATGAGTCAAAGAGATTTGTTAGTTCATTTAACCAAATGGATAGAATTCAAATAGACAGGAAAGAATCCTTTTATTCAATGCCTGTCATCAAATCTAATAAGCTTTCATTTTGATTTGCTGAAAAAGTTTGAAATCTAAAAAGAGTAAAGGTTAAACGGGGAAGGAAACAAATACCTCATTCATTTTTCCTATCAAAACAATTCTTATATCATAGATTTGTATGTAAAACCATTTTTGTTGTTGTTGTTGTTGTTGTTGTTGTCGTTGTTGTTGTTGTCGTTGTTGTTGTTGTCGTTGTTGTTGTTGTTGCTCCTGCTATTGTTATTATTACTTTTGTTTTTTCCTTTCCTTTAAGCTAACCTTTCTTAGCTTAATTTATTTTCAATTTCATTTAACTCCACAATGTAATCATTCTAACGATAACTTTCTCATCTTGCATTTTTTTTATCCATGCATCGTTAAACGGACTTTTTTTCATCTTTTTCTTTCTAAATGCAAATTTACTCTTTTTTGTTTTTGTTTTTTTTTCTTTTTTGGCGACATTATCACAATGTGTTATTTATTACAACGAGTGATACTAGTAATACTGAAATTTTGTAGAACAAAAAAGAGAAGTGATGGCAAAGAGAGGACAATTTTTGTTACTATATGTAAGAAGTATTTTCTGATAAGATTTAGTTTTGACATATAAAAGGTCGGAGAAGAGAAAGGAAGGGAGAGAGAGAGAAAAAAAAGAAAGGAAGGAGGCAAAGAAGTGGAAAAAAGAAGTAAATAGTATGATTTTATTTTGCAAGTCCATAATATAATTTAACTTTTTAAGCTGTTAAATCACCACTTATTTTTAAAGCTTATTTTAACTTTTATGCCAGTCTTCATTTTTT